TTATTTGTTAAATATGTAAATACTAAATACATCAGTATTGAGCGGTATGCATGTATATCTCTCTAAATTGGGCATATTTTCATGCATGCCGCTCAATTGTTACGCATTTACAAATCTAACACCTATTCTTTTAATACTTATACTACCCAAATCAATCACATCATATAAAAATATCATATAAAAAGTGAAATAAACCTATTGCATAAATAACAATATCATTTCATAAATACTAAAAGCATGCAAGAAAAAAAATATTATCAATCCTGCAATTCTTAACTGTACAAAATTACAAATCATGTCCATAAAACTAACAAAAATATTGAACAAGCAACACATTATCTAAGAGCAACAACAATATAGTACAATGAAGAGCATTTTCTCACAGCCTCTCTAGCATCCCATCCTCACCATCTTAAAAGACAGATAAAATGGATTGCTAAATTAATCGATACAATGACGTAATAAAAAGTTTTGCATTATGGTGTAGACAGCATTTCAAATATTTCAGATGAATTATCATAGTTGAATTCCTCCTAATTGGTGTTATCTATGGCTCATCATTTTTAATTTCTACGTCCAACAATTCCATTCTCATACAAATACTCCACAAATTCATCGATCAAATACGGCCAGGCTCCTTCTGCGTCGTAGTTCGACAGCTCGGGGTCGATCGTCTGTGCAAAAGCACGAGTAGCAGGATACTTAAATGTAATAATGCACTACTGAACTCATGAATAAAACTCTGAATTTAACTTCTCAAAAGGGTTTGGAAGATTGGGGAAACTTAAATATATGTAATATTTATGTATATATGCTGAACTTCTTGGGTGCATAAATAAAATCAAACTTTGAATAAACACCCACAAGGGTCTCATCTTTTTGCTTGAGAGATTATTGCATTAGGACACCGGAAACCATCGGACGTAAATTTGCGTCTGGAGTCCAGTGGGTACTTGCCAGGTGGCAATTGGGTCCCATTATAATACGCAGAATTTTTTAGAGGGTTGGGGCTCACTTGTCACGTGACACATGGACTGTAATAAATTTTCCTTTAAGGGGCTGTTTGGTTTGAGATAAAAGAAAGTACTGCTTTTCGAAATGTGAGGGTTTTGAATTTTTGAGTGTTTGATTTGAGAAAAAATAAATGCAGTGTAAAGTAACAAAGCATTTCAAATGCAGTGTTTAGTTAATTTCTAGTATACTCCAAATTCACCATATTAAAAAAAATGAGGCTGGTGCCGGCCAGTTGTCGGCCTTATGTATATAAACTTCATTTTTCCTCAAACCAAATGCAAAAATATAAAGCCCTACACTTATTTTTCACTGAACCAACTCTTCTAAATAAATTACTGTAACCGTGTAAAGCATTGCATTCCCAATAAAAAACTTCAAAATTGGCAGCATCCAAGAAGATTTAAAAAGACCTTACCTTAGCAAACTCCAACAACTGAGACCAGGTATCTCTTGTGATTGATTTGTTGTGCCTTGCCTAAGCAAGCAAATATCAAGTCAAAGCAGTTCTTCATTAGTTTATAATTCGTATTACAGGAGTAAAAATGGCAATAAATTAGATCATATATATATATATATATATATATATTATTCAACGTTAAATTGTAAAGCATGCATAAACAATTTGCAGTATATGAAAACATTATGCACTACTCAATAGCAAAAGAGAAATTTACATACAAACAGCACAAGTCTTATGTAATTACATATCTAACACCCAAAATTTGATAATTACACTTATCACACTTTGTTGTCATAAACTTATGCATGAAAAGATGTATTTCACTTTTACACAGTTAGTTGTGGTCGTCTTTTTGATCTATGTTAAAACTTTGAGTTGTATGCACGGAAATATGAATGTTTAGGTGTAAGATATGTAAATATATAAGAATTGAGTGGTATGTCAGTAAATGCCCCATAGTAAAAATACAATTTCCTTAACTGGATTTTATACCATTAATGCAAATTATACAAAATGAAATTAGCTTCTGAGAAAGCAGAATCATAAGTTTTACCATCCAAATGAAACGGAGCTAGTTGATCAGAATAATTTACCTGCAAGAAATCACACCAATGATCAACCAAAGACCAGTGCTTCTCGGCAAACAACAACTGCCACATGCCTATTGCAGTATCCAGAGATAGAGACTTTTGTCCCTACAATTAATTCCACCAGATAGCAATCATTTCACCCTTCAGTAAAATTATCAAACGAGAAGCATTTTCCCAAGATTATAAGTTACAGCGAATAATTAGTGGTGCTAAGACTATCAAGTTTAGACTCAACTTTGTACTTATATTGAAAATTTAAACAGATGCAATGCAACATCACTAAATAAACTTGACATTGACACGGCCAAAACTAGGAAACTATTAAAAAAGTTAAATATAATAATTTCACAAATGAACCTTTAAAATAGGCAACTCATCCTTCAATGAAGCCCTTCTACAGACTTCTAACAGTAGTTTGAGGGCACAGAAATCATACTACAACAACAACAAACCTTTATCCTACAAAGTGGGGTCGGCTACATGACTCCTTTTCTCTATTGCACCCTATTGAGTGTCATATTTTCATTTAATTCTAATAGATTTAAGACCATGTTTTATACAATTTGGCCAAGTTTTTTTAGATCTACCCCCGTCTTTCTTAACATAACTCGAATCTAAAACATCTAGTCTCCTAAAAGGATCATCAGATGGTCGGCGTTTAATGTGAGCAAACCATCTAAGACGACTCTCTCTAATCTTGTCCACCACTAGAGCTACACCAACACTATCACGGATATATTCATTTCGCATTTTGTCTATAAGTGTCAAGCGACTCATCCACTTAAGCAATCTCATCTCAACAACACTTAACTTTGTATTATGCTTCTCTTTTAAAGGCCAACATTTTGTGTCATATAGCATTGCATGTCTCACCACACTCTTCTAAATTTTCCTTTCAGTCTGTGCATTACTTTTCTATCACACAATAGGCCCGATGCATTCCTCCACTTCAACCAACTAACTTTCAACCAACTAACTTAAACTTAAATTCTACTAATAACATCCACATCTATATCACAATCACTTTGAACTATATACTCAAGATTTCTAAAACGATCACACCTTTTAATGATTTAATCACCCATACTTACAACTCTGCCACTAGAGCCACTACTACTAAAATTACATTCGATATATTTAATTTTAGATCTACTCAAACGAAGGCCTTTAGACTCCAATGTAAAAGCCCATAATTCAAGTTTTTCCTGAATAGCTTTTCTAGTCTTATCCACAAGAAGGATATTATCAGCGAAAGCATACACCAAAGTACATCCTCCTGTAAATCTCTCGTAAGAGCATCCATAACTAAAGCAAAAAAGATATGGACTTAAAAGTCGATCCCAGATGTAATCAAACTAAAATAAGAAAATACTTGGTCAATCCTTCCATTCGAACACAAGTAACAACTTTAGCATTATCTTTAATGACTTGAATAGAAGTCATATCAACACATTTCTTCTCTAGAACTCTCCAACAGACTTCTCTTGGAGCCTTATCGTAAGTTTTTTTCTAAATCAATAAAAATCATATGTAGATCCTCCTTATTCTCTTTGTACTTCTCCATCAAATCTCTCAATAAATGTATAGCTTCCATAGTAGACCTGCCTTACATAAATCTAAACTGATTATAAGAAATCATTATAACACGTCTTAACCTATGTTCAATTACTCTCCCATAATTTTAAAGAATGACACATCAACTTAATTCCTCTATAATTTTCCTCTATAATTCTCTATAATTTGCACTCTTGTGTGTCCCCTTTATTCTTAAAAATGGGACAAAAATACTCTTCATCCATTTTTCAGGTATCTTTTTAGTTTTAAAAATAATATTAAAGAGTTTAGCAAGCCAAGAAACTCACAAATCTTGTCATAAAACTCACAAATCTCCTAAATATTTTCATACGTCAATTGGGATATCATTAGGTCCTTACTGAACCCCCTAGTTTTCTTTAAATCCTCCTCAATTTCCTTCTTACTATTTTGACAGTAAAAATAAAACGTTTGATTATTATTAACGTTATTAAGATCACTAAGGTCAATCGTATTTTCAGAAACTTCATCGAAAATTTTATCAAAATAGCTCACCCACCTATGTTAAATATTTCCTCTAAAAAAAGTATTTTTTTTATTTTCATCTTTAATACATTTTACTTGAATTAAATTTTTACTTTTCTTTTCTCTTTGTTTGACTAATTTATACATATATTTTTCGTCATCTATAGTATCTAATCTATTATAAATATCACTAAAAATAGAATTTTTAGCGTCACTAATTTTTCTCTTAAATTCCCTAAGGGTCACCATATGTTTTTCCCAGATCTCTAAGCTTTTACATTTAAACCAATTTTTATAACAAGTTATGTTTTATCTTTTTTTGCACATTATTCCACCATCAACTATTTTTATTTATAAAAATATTTACTTTTAATTCTCTAAGTACACCTTTTGCCACTGGAGAGCATATAAATCATGCCCTTAAAAATAAGTGAGTTGAACAATCTTCATGATATCTTCTTATATTTTCTTTCATTTAAAACTCTTACATTATAACACATCCATTCATGAAAGAACGCAATATTTGGAAATTTGTTTGCATCTATGAAAGAACGCAACTAGCTGATAGCATTTTGAATGTCAAGGGGATCAATAAGCCAACAATTACGTTAGTTATATATAAGTATATTAATTCAAATTTCTTTGCCATGCCAATGTGAGTCATCAGCTCCTATCGCTCATGCCTTGCCAACATAAAGACAAGTAGATCTTTACACCACAAAGACAATCATTAATCAAGTGCTGGGAAAAAAAGAAGTAAAGATTGAAAGAAAGGGGAAAAAAAGAAATTGCCTCTAAACACCCTTGATCCTACGTGTATGCACACCAAATTAGACATTCTAATCCAACCCAAAAAACTGATAACAGTTTTGATCTAGGTTTAAAATTATGCGATCAGGTTCATGAGAAAAGACGTAAGCTTCAAGTCATTTTGAGGTATAAAACTCAAGATTGAATCATTAAATTAATTAAAAATATGAAGAGTAAAACATTTGAGAGATATCCTCCTTATGAATCAATAGCAAGTAATTGTAAAAATTTGAGTTTCATCCCAATATAGCATTTGAATTAATCCAAAAGGTCAAATTAACATCATAATAAGCTATACAAACACTTAATAATAAGCAAGAAGTCCAACATGAACAAGTAAATATAAACAAGAAGTTTAAGGATCTGTTTGGGGCAGCTGCAGCTTATCCAACTTATCCTGAAAATCTGGTGATAAACAGCTGATCCGGATAAGCTGTCTGTCTGTTTGGTTTGTGAGTTTGGAGAACAACTAAATCTGGATAAATGATTATTGTGCCCCTGTTTTGGATAAGTTATTTGGTTTGTGCGTTTAGTAAACAACTTTTTTGCATATTTTCTTAGTTAAATAAACAATCTATCGCGCATAAGTTGTACTTTTCTCAACAAAAACAACAATGCATACGAGTTGGATAATTTGGAACCAATTAATCCTATTCAGAATTATCCAACACACACAGAGCATCCAAAAATTCCAACATAACATTAATTTATATGGAATGTGACAAGTTTGTAAAATTGAAATGTTAAGACATGAAAATACAAAATATTTGAGTTACATTTATATCTCTCAAATACTTACGATAACATCAAAGAAGTACAGTTTCACATACAAAAGTGAAATACACACGCACACGCTAATAATGAGACAATTTTACAGCAATTCAAATGTAATGCCAACAATCACCATAACATCATTGTCTTCCAAGAGAATATTAAACAAGAAGCTTACATGTAGTAATTATTCTAAAAAAAATTAAACGTCGTTTTCAATCTAATATGCAGTATGGCCATAAATTTCAATTTTGAAGTAGAAAATCTGTGCACCATATAACCAATTCAAGTAATAAAATCCTACTAGCCGCAATAAAACTCATTTACAATTATGAGCAAAATCTCTCCACAACTCTCACATTAGAGTGTTGTTCAACAGGACCAAAACAGAATGAAACCAATCCAAATCCAAAACAGAATGAAACAACCACCAAAAGAGGACATAAACAACAAATCAAGAAGGATCTAGAAAATCTGGGAGGAAGACTCGTAGGAGCCGAAGGGTAGATCACCGACTAGGAGAGGTCGAGATGTGCCCCGCGCAACAGCGCGGTAGCGGACGAGCATCTCATCGAGAGAGATCAGGAGGGTGGTGTCGTGACCATGGATGCGGAATCGCCGACAAGGCAAACATCAATGCCGACGAGATCGACGTTTACGGTGGAGGGGTAATCATAAGCAGTGACGACGGTGAAGGGTTCAGAGCGGCAAAAACGAGCAAACCGTGGCATCTTCGCCGCGGATGAGGAAGAGGAAGCCGCCGATGAGGATGAGGAAGAGGAAGAGGAAGAACGTGAATGAGATCTTCTCTGCGACTCTTTCACCTGAACAGGAATGAACAAGACGAGGGCAACCCATCCAAATTTTCGCAAAACGCAGACCGCAGGGCTTTCCCCGTGGCCTGCGTCTAATGTAAAATAAAAACTTTGTTTTCGCATAAGCTCTCCAAACGAACAATCCAAACGTTGAGGCGGCGTTTTCAAAACGCCGCCACAACTGATAAGCTGCCCCAAACGCACCTTAAAATAAACAATTAAACATGTTCTAAAATAAACAAATTATGACTAATGACTCCCGAATTCATAAATCTCACTCGCTCCTATCACTTCGAAATTCTTCAATAGAATCATGAGAGTAATTGATTATTTTCTTGCCTCCCGCATCCTCATTTAATCAAAACCCTCCTAATCTTCATCATCATCTTTAATCTTAATTATCTTCCCCTTTTCTAATCAATAAAATTCAATAAAAAAATTATTTAAAATAAGAAATATATTTCTGTTTTAATATTCTATTACACAAAGTTTTATATTAACGTTTTTTTTATTACTTTCTTGTTGAATTTTCTCTTCATGTTCCTTCCACCATAAAAAAATTCATAATTGAGATATTCCACTTTCAGTTAATAATGTCACTTCTATTAAAACAAATACAACCCAATACCTTCTATATCTTGATATGGAAGCATAAGTCTTATTACATGTCTATCAAAGCATTCCTCAAATAATTGAAGCATACGCCTCTTTCTCACGGTACCCTTCCTCCAGCTATAACGTGTAAGCCTTAAGGAGTTTCGCATGCCCCTCATGCTGAAGCATACCTCAAATTAACTTTAAATATAATTTTGGTAATCTGTTACTTTTTGCCAACGCCATTCAACCATAATTTTCTACAATTGATTTCTTGCAAGGAAAAATTATAAAGCAATAGAGATCAAGAAAAGGTTTATGGAGTGAAAATATGGAGAAGAACAAAAAATATTGCAGTTTAAGAAAAAGAGACGAAGAGTGAGCAATGAACTAGGGAAGTTAGAGCAAAAGGAGTGAAAACAAGAGGAAATTTTAGTAAGTGCACTTTTTTTTTGTAAGGATAATTTATTAAACAGGATAAATCGGATGTTAAGAGAAATGAGATTTTAGTATTTGGCTGGCAATAGCCTATTTAAAAAATCACCATTTATGAAATATAAATCAACAAAAGACTAATGAGCAAATGTGCCTTATCGTATCATGTTGTGCTTAGTTTTCAAGTAGACCGTTGTTGGATAAAATCGTTGCCGAAGGTCTAGTATTAAATATGAATTGTTTCATAGAAACTACAGTGAAACTAACCTGAAATGGTACAATAATCTAAATAAACATTATTATAAATAATATATAACATCAACTAACTTTATGTTACAAATATAATGCATTTATTATTCATGAATAATTTAGGATCATTAATTAATATATATAAACAAATGAATTATAACAAATCAAGAATACTACTGAAATATTATAGCATGACATGTAATAATTGTAGTAAAATTTTTATTTTGAAAATGTTCAACTAAGCGCATCTATTATACGTGTATTTTACAAAATAACTTTACAAAAGAAATGGGAATAGTTATGAAAATTTTTTAAATGAAATTATAGTAATATTAAGGTCAAAGAATAGAAGTTTTGCATTGAAAATTTTCGAAATAGCTTTTTTTAATGAAAATGAGTTCTAAGGAAGCATGCTTGCTAGCTTTTTCTATAACACTCGTATTCTGGCTTTCATAAAGCTAAAAATTTAAGTGCATTTATCAAATACCATAAAACTAATTCTATTGTCTATAAAAAGAACATTTAGGAAGTAAAAAGCACTTTCAAACGGGATCTAAGATAAAGAATACCTTTTCTTTAGCCCATCCAAAAGCAAAGTTATATATCTCTCGAAACTTTTCTGTAAAAAAAAAAAAAAAAAGTAGGTTATTGGTTAAAAAAAAAAAGACTAATTTAGCAAAGAACATTTACAGTGCTGCATAAGGTTTTACAAGCATTGAATGTAAGTTCACAAATATTAAATATGTCAATTAAGTGGGTTATTGGCTATAAAAAAAATCATTGAATGCAGGATAGTTGCTAAACATCTTTCTATTCAAGATGTTGTAATTCATAGGTGCTTTAGGCCTCAGTTCTGTATGTTCTTTTTTTTTTCAGCTTGTTTTGTTTGCTCTCACATAAAAAATGTCTGGAAGCCAACATAATTCAAAATAGAAAATGAAAAAAAAGCAATTAGCATAATTAACTATTTAATACATAATTAATATAATATAAGCATTAATTATCTAAAGATCCATTTGGCTTGGTTGTTTGTAAAAAGAGTTTTAAAGCCGTTGTTGTTGTTTGCGGGGTGTTTTTGTGGTGAAGGGTTTGAATTGGATAGTAGTTTCCGTACAATTATCATACTTAGGGTGCATTTGGGGAGGTTTGTGCTTATCCGGATAAATCACTTATCTGGAAACACGGAACGCGGGGTTCAACTCGCGTTCTATGTTAAGTGTAAAAAACCAACTGCGTTTTTGGATAAGCTGCTCAAACGCAGTTTCCAAACGATGAGACGATGTTTTCAAAATTTTGTCGCAACGGATAAGCTGCCCCAAACAGAGCCTTAGGGTTTGTTTGGGACAACTGCAACTTATTCAGCTTATGTTGATAAGCAGTTGATCCTGATAAGTTGTTTGTTTATTTTGTTTGTGCGTTTCAAAAACAGCTGGATTGCAATTATTTCTGGATAAATGACTATTCTGCCCCTGAACTGAATAAATTATTAAGCTGTTTGGTTTTTGAGGTTTGAGAACAACTAATTTGCTCAAATTTGCGAAAAAAAAATGACCATTTCGGCCACGTGCTATGGAGCTATTTGCAACAGTAATATAATAAGAACACATTCAAAATACTAAAATCCAAAAAACACAACATAACAGTTCAAAAAAAAAAATGATATGCTCCTCACTCAAGGGAGACTATCTACAAACCTATTAAAAAACAAAAAATTTAGACTTCAATATAAATATAGACTTACTCTATCGATACACAAACAGAAAAATAAACATTTGAATTATAGACTTCAATATAAATATACATAGGGAACGAAACCCTTTTGCAAGCATTCAATTGTACAAAAAGCTTTCATGTGCATCATTGCACGAAAAAACTTACTTTATATAACAAAAACAAGCCGCCCATTTACCCAGTCATTTCAAACGGATAAATCTTGGGCTCACTTAGAACCTATCCAATAAATTTTAACTTATGCAATTATATTTCACTATATAACTTCTTACTAATTCTCACAAATTTTTATGATGTAAACTAATGTTTTATAATCAAATTTATTATAACAGAATTGGATTTCCAGACTTGAAATTCATCCAAAGACTAGCAATTTAACATGACGAACAATTCAAACAAACTCATAGTAACACAACACATAGTTCTTGAAGCTTTTATTCAAACTTCAGACAAACAGACATCAGCAAACTAGAGACGAGTAAAGAAGATTTCATGAGCATAACACTTGGAATATGAGCATCTTGTTGCTCCAAATCTTCTTTTGCATAGTACTTGATGGAACACCTTCTGAAAAAGTGTCTGGTTATCTCGTCTCGTTAGGAAAAAATTACCTTCTTGGACCCCAGGAAAGAATTCTTTCAATTGAGAATTTCAGGAGGTAATACTGGTAACAACTTTGAGGTTTCTTGTAATTAATGAAAAAAGGAACGAAGTATAGAAAAATTGAACATACAATTTTACATAGAAGAAGCAGGGAAGGGATTTAGCACACAAAACTTTAAGGCATTGATCTCCACCACCATGAAGCGATACACAAATTTGATGAGAGGAGAGAAGGGATTTACCTAGAAGGAGATGTATGCCGAAGACAGGAGCTGGCGGCTGCCTAAGATTAATGTCGAATAAGCAAGGAAAGGAGCTGAATGCCGGAGAAGCCGCGAGTGAAGGGAAGGAAGCAGAGAGCGGCGGATCGCGAGCTAGGACAGAGAGCGGGGTAGTTGAATGCCTAAGAAGATAATGGAAGGAAGGCGGATCGCGAGCTAGGGCAGAGAGCGGCAGATCATGATTGATTATGTGAAGGGTAGCTGGAGTAATTTGCGATTAAACGCAGCAAGGAAACGCTGAGCGAGGGGGTAATACCGCGGCCCAGATTATTCGAAAATTCCAAACTGTGTGTTTCAAAACGCTGCTCAAACGTGCAAAACAAACATCACAGCGGCGTTTTCAAAACGTCGCCGTAGTTTTAAGCTGTCCCAAACGGACCCTAACGTAGATATAATTCTTAAAAACAACTTCTCACTACAAAAAAATTTGAAGAAAAAAAAAGAAAATAATAGCCAAATGAAGATATGATAGTAGTTTGAATAGTAAAGCAATAAAAAAAATATAAAAAACAGTCCCTAAATCTTATAAGCCCAACTTAGGGTCTCTTTGGGGCAGCAGCAACTTATCCAGACAAACAGTTTATTCTGACAATCTGTTTATCAGCAGCTTATCCTGATAAGTTGACTGGTTATTTGATTTGTGCGTTTGAAAAACAGTTGTTTCTGGATAAATAATCATTCTACTCCCGTTTTGGAAAAGTTGTTTATCTGTTTGGTTTATGCGTTTGGAAAACAGCTGATTTGAAATTTTTTCTGGATAAATAATCATTCTGCCTCACAGCAATTGTGTTTTTTGCAACAGAACTGCAATGACTACACATTTGATATTTCAGAACTAATAAAACCATTTCAAAACAGTATAAAAAATGATATACATCTCACTTATGGTGAGTATCAAGGAACTGAATAAAAAAGAAGAAAACATAGTAAAATTACAATTAAAAGTATATTAATATTAATTTTAAAGTGCAGAAGAAACATGTCACGAGCAACGTCATCCAGTTGGGATGTTGTCGAACCCCGAGCAACGTAGTCCGCTTGTGATATCGTCGAATTTCGCACACTACCGGTAGTAGAATCGGGCGGACTGTCTGCCCACCTGAAGAACTCACACATGTCCGGACCGTCTGCCCATAGCCAACTCACACACTCGAAGCCAGGATAGCACACCCAAGTCACCATAAACACCACTCACATGCACCACACACAAGCACACCTCACACATCCACCACCAACTCACACACTGAAAGCCAAGAGAGCTCACCCAAGCCACCTCACACATCCACCACAACCAATCCACCACACACAAGCACACCTCACACATCCACCGCCTACTCATACACCCAAAGCCAATTCATGAAGAACACCAAGCTAGCCAACGTGCCAGGAAACCGAGCTGCACTATGCCGAAAAACCAAGCAAGCCAACGTGCCAAAAAAACACAAAAGGTAGAAAAAATGAAAAGGACCTACACTTTCGCAAAAAAACAGGTCAGCCAACATGTTCCCCACTGTAAAATGGTACATTAAGCCAAAGAGGCCCAATCAAAATGTCAATTCATTCATATTCTTCATAGAATGATTGCCAGTACTCAGACGAAAAGGGGAAACCAAACCAAAGAAATCAAAAATGTCAATCATTCGATTTGCTTGAAAGAATGCTTGCTACTACTCACAGAAAACTAATTCATGAAGAACACTACAAAAGTTACAGAGAACCACCTTACCGGATCGCAAAGAGGAGAAAAGAGAAGGAGACCTTAACGGATCAGAGGGAGGAGAAAAGACAAGGAGAATCGCAGCAGGAGATCCCGGGATAAGGCAGAGAAGACAAACCTAGGGCACAGGATGAGGATCGTAGAGAGAAGAAGGCAGCAGATAGATCCAGAAATCGCATAAGAATCGCAACTAGGGTACTGGATGTCACGGGAATACTATCGCGAAAGGTAAACAAATACGCGAGTCACATGCTTTGACCCGCAGTCTGTGTCTAATAGAATAGGATACACACGTATCCTCAAATGTAAGCCAACCGCACGAAACAAACATCCTTAGTGTGTTTTGAAAACGTATAAACAGCAAATAAGCTGCCCCAAACGGACCCTTAATCTTAAGGGTTGCCATCATAACCATTACATTAATTACAAAATTTTTATAATAATTATTATTTCAATTAATTAATATAGATTAAAAAAGTCAAAAAAATTCAACTACTATTTTAACTAATTATAGACTTATACAACTATAATTAAACACAAATAAAATCATAATGTTCTAGTTAAAGATAATAATTTATCTTCTTTTAAAGCTTCAATGAGTAGTTTCTTTAAAAAAAAAAATTGGAGAGCAACTTTATTATAGCTAACATACTTTAGTAGATATAGTTTTCAAAAACAACTTCCCCACCACAAAAAAAACTCCGAAGAACAGCAAGAAAATAATTGTCAAATGAATATATGATAACAGTTTGAAAAATAAAGCAATAAAAAAACTATCACAAACAATCCCTATAATAATATAAGCCCTACTTAATGTTAGTTTCCATCACAATCATTAATTAATTACAAACCTTTTATAATTAATATTATTTAAATTAATTAATATAGATTAAATTTGTATAAAATATTCAATTAGCACTTTAAGTAATTATAGCCTTATACAACCTAAATTAAACAAAAATAAAATCACAATGTTCTCAGTTAAAAATAGAAACTTATTATTTAGTAAGCTCAATTAATTGATTAATAGTTCATACCATTTCTATTTACAATGATAAGTACAACAAAACCTTAATGATCCTAATAAAAAAAACTAGTCAAAATCTAATTAGTCTAGATAAAAAGTAAGTTCAGTTATTCTAGTTATCAATGAATTAGTTAACAATTAAACTCTTAACTACCATAATTAAACATAAGTAGTAATAACTATAATTAAAATACAAATTAATCCATACCTATCATAAATAATGCATTAATAAGAATTACTTTGACCAATTAAGCTGTTAAATACTTTTAATTATAATATTAATTAATCCAAACTTCACCAAAATAATACATTAACATCAACCACCATGGCCAATTTAGCTACTAATAAATCATTCTAAGCCTATTTACAATGGTACATACAGACATTAATTAACTATCATATACTTCATTACCACAATTAAACACTAATAAACTTAAGTGATCATAATGTCAAAACATTAACTAACCCTTGGACATATGAATATCTATTTAGAAGAACTAGTATCCAATTAGTAGAATTAGTGTAATTTACTGAAACAATCACTTTGACATGTTTCTAAAACGTGCGATAAAACATAAAAACCCTCATGCATGTTTTCAAAGTTTCAAGAAATAACCCATTTTAATTTCAAAATGAAGAAACGGAAATGAGGTGGACAAACATATTTTTTTCTCTTAAGAACATGCTTTCGAAAACATGAAAACTAGAAACGGATGTTAATTCAAAATAGGCATTAGAATTTGCTTCAAAAAATCCCTAGAAGGAGCTTTCAAACATATCTTAAGAAAAGACAGATTCTTTATAATCCAAAGCACGCACGTTCATCTTTCAACTCTGCACGTAGTGATGGTATCTTTTCTTGGAGCTTTTGAATGGTATCTACCCTGAAATAGGTGCATCGAAGAATGCAAAAAATGATTCGCAGTACCAGTACCAGAGGAGCAGAAAAAAAAAATAATAATAAATAGAGGCATTTACATACATACCACCCAATTCTTATGTATTTACATATCTACTTCCTAAACTTTACTTCCTATATTTATACCAACCAAATTTTTTGTGCCACATCAAAAGTCCCACCATTTTAACTTTTAAAAAGTGATACAACTTTCAAGCATAGGTAAGGTGGCATATATGAAGTGGTGTTAGATATGTAAATACATAGGAATTAAGTCGTTTTTATGTAAATCTTCCTAATTGGCATAAATCATACCCCAGTGACTGTAATCCACCAATAAACTCTTCTCGAGAAAATTCACACATTGTGGCAGCCTTCATATGCCAAGATAGAACCAACTGTAACATTAAAGACGTGGCATTTTGATGAAAATAACGTAAATATATCATTCTAAAAAAATGTATAATTGAAGGGCATCAGCATTTTGATGAATATATTTATCACTAATGAAAATATAGTTCCTTTATGGCTTCGATATCAAGTAGGCGTACGATCAGCAATCAAGTACATTTCCTAACAAAACAAAAAATCCTAATTAATTATCTGAAATGTCTAAGAATGTTAGTACTCAATTTGACAAATTGAGCATTTAGCCTATGAAACCTAATTTCAGAACTCAATTAACAGATGGCCAACTTTCCAAAAGTAACTTGGGAAACAAGAAGGGCCTGCCATAAAACCTGAAAGTCTAATTAGCGATGAGCATCGCATGCAATCTGGCCAAGCTTCCACCTAAAACGGTTCGGGAAAAACAAAAGAATGAATATAAACAACTTACATATCATCCTTCAGTCTGTAAAAATATCAAAGAACCAAATCAAAACAAAATTAGTGATTTATAATGAAATAATATAAAAAATAAAAATAAAAAACTGTGAATCGGAACATGGTAGTTCTATTTTCACTGCATTTGGTGAAGAAACCTCTTCCTAGAATACATATGTACATTAGAAAGTGGAAAAGAACAAATAAAATTTTACCCTAAAACACAACAAATTGGAAGTTGCCGAGACTATTATAAGATTTGAAAGAAATGAAATACCAACAACAGCTAATTACAATGTGCGAAGGTATTCTTGGCACAATAAATGACATACCGTAACAATATCCTGGGGATCAACCTGCAAGCGTCCAATTACCAAAATGCATATAAGTTTAATGAGAAAATAAGATAGATAACACAAAAAACATCAAGGAAATCATAAACATTGAAACCCGAAAAGGTAATTAGTAGATAACAGATAACAAACAGAAAGTGCATCTAGTAAGAAATCATAAAATTTGTTCTATCAAAAGAAATGTAAGAAAAAAAATTATCCAAAAATTGTTTTCATTCACCTACATCTATTTTAAGGAGAGAAAAATCAAAAGCGGCTTTAACAAATTGCAGGAAGCTCGCACATGAACTGAGTGATAAAAGACATCTGGGGAAGAAAAAGTGATGATCATAATTATTCGAGTTGAATATATTTGTGTGGCTTTACTAGAAATCTAAAAATATGATGGATAAACCCTCAATTGATATCATAAACAAAACAAAAACCAGAAAATTAGTGTGAAAAAGATCAGTACTGGTGTATCATGCTGTGAATCATGTCCAATTAATAAAATGAAATCTTTATGCACGTTTCAGAAAAGGCATGCACGATGAAAAAAAGAAAGACATGATATACACTGAGGTCTTATTTAATATCAAAGTTCCCATGAAATATATAAAAGCAGGAATAGTATGCAGAATATTACAGGGATACGGGGTACACTGAATTTTTTTACACATCGCAAATGCAGAGTAAACATGATAACGAAAAAAAAAATCAAAGAAGAAGCTTCAACCAAGAATTCAAAGCAATATTATATCAAAAAATAAGAACAGGATTCAAAAGTAAATAAAAAATATTACCTGTAAATCATTACATAGTAGAGATATGCCATCAACCAAAATCATATCAACATAGGCATCTGCAAATATCAGACAACTATAATTGCAAATAATGCAATAAATTATGAACACAAATATTTAGCAATTAATAGAAGTAAAACAAGTTTACTTGAGACTTTGTGCAAGGATTACAAAACCACTACTGCAAACAATGCTATTAGAATAGACTATGACCGAAAAAAAATTAACAGTAAGTAGATCAAAATGAAATTTAGTGGAACATAAATGAAAATCATTTATACTGTTACAGACATGACACAAACGAAATATTTATAAATAACCACCCTTCCTACCTATCAAAATCACCAACAAGACCAATTCCATGAAAATAACTCCTAGCTCAACTATGTAGTTTTCATGTTCATTATCTGTTTCACAAATATCATTAGAACATAAATAACAAATTAAGACACCATATGCAGCTTTTAGAATTCAAGATAATTTGTCACAGAGCTTACTTTAAATAACATATTGTCTTCAGATGCTGTGCTTAATAATTATCACATCATAGATCCAAGATAAATATGCTTAACGCACCAAGTAAAAATATTAAAGTTCCAGCAATATTTAAGCTGAAGGTAAAAAAATAAAATTATATTCAACTAAAACCTGGACATACTCTCTTCCGATCAACTCTAGTGATGAATTAAGTTGTAGTGAGATTTACTGATCGGTTGTAAAACATATTTGTGCTCATCACCCACATTATTTATATAAGCATTCACGATATACAGCTAGAAGTGACTTTAGTTGGTAATAGTAAATTCGAATCCTACTATTCAATACACTTTTTTTGTAGTCATTATAGGTTTTTTATTCATACCAGTGTAACTATTTATTCTAAAAAATAAGTCAAAGATTTCCAACACTTTTAACTCAGATGATGTTATAGTGGAACTTAACTATTAGAGAGTTCATAATCGGATGTCAGCAAACATGTATAAACAACATGAATCTTTTGAATGAAAAAGCCATCAGCCTAATTCCATAAAATGTTGAGAAATTCACTAATTACCAGAAATGAGTATAAAATCATGTCAAATACTGCAGTTATATTCTTCATCATAACCCCACTGGTGGCTTTCCACCCCAAAAAGATATCTAATAAGGTAAATTTAACATGGACTAACAAAAAAATCATCTTTAAAAACACAAATAACTAAACAAGCACCAATTAATAGCATCATAATATTCTGATTCCAATGCTCAAAAATTATTAAGTTATCATAAGTATAATACAAGATTAGCTAACTTTCCTTTCAAGGTTTATAGAGGGTTGGAAGAAACAAATATAATGCATGATTAAAAGTATAATGCATGGAAAAAGTAAGATCGATGCAACCTATATATAATAGTTGAAATTTAGCCAGCAACAAGATATAAAGTGCAGAAAAAAAAAGGTAGAAAGTTTCCATTTGCAAATATCTGAGCTTCCTAATAAAAGGAACACCAAAATGAACTGGTTCAAAAAACAGATGTAGCATGCACAGAATAATGCTTCTTCTGTGTTAGACAATACATGGCAAAAGGAGTCCATATCATTCAAGAAAAACTAAACAGCTAATTCATGAGAAAGACATGTGAAAATTTGATTTAGATCTAAACATAAAAAAAGAGAGATTTCAACGGAGCTGGAGCAGTCTCTTTAAGTGTACGTAGAAAACCACAAAGCCTTTCTAGCCACTTAAGCTTTAAAATTCTAATCTAAGAAGGATGCCAACATCAGTTCCTAGGCGAAAACTTCAAGAGTAGTTTAGGTGGCAAAGGATCCAAAAGAAAAAAATCATTTCTTGGATATGAAATGAGCAGGATTTATTCATTAATCCATTCTATTCAGGTTTTAAAACTCAAGTCCATATAACACTTGACGACAAGACAGCAGAGGTCCAGTGCCAAATATTTCTTTATTTTCAACAATAAAAGATTATGTGAACTTAACCCAAAAAATAACGGAACAATGATACTATTGCAGAAATTCAAATAGAGAATTACAGATAATCAATTGAAATAGGAAATAACAACATGGATATAACACATACGCAAAGAGGGTAGTATCCCAAAAGGGGTGGTGTTGGCTGTTTGGATTGGGTGGCAGCAGCAGGATGGTGGCAAGGTAGTGGTTTGTGGAGGGACCCGCAGCTAGAGGCAAGGGGCAGCAGGATGGCAGCAGACTGGGAGAGGTAAGGGGAAGGTGGAGGCTGCGGTTGGGGGTGATAGGAAAGGGACCAGCAGGTTACAGGCATGGCTGGTGTGCAAGATTCAAGGTGGAAGAGGGAGGCCAGCTGCTAGGATGAACGTGGTTGCAGGGACGTCAGCAGTTGTGGCTGTTTAGGAGAGGGTTGCAGCCAGGGAGGGGTGTTACGGTAAAGAAGGATGGACGCAGAGGATGGCAAAGTCGAAGATAAATATCCCATCGGGAATGAGATATAGCCGGAGCACCACTCAACCCTTGAGAACAAATCATTACCTCGGAACGAGATACAGCCGAATCACTACTAGCCCTTGGAAAGAAGAAAAAACATGGGAGCCCGACAACTGTCCTAAAAGAAACACAATAAAAAATTGACCAAAAACATAACAAAAACAACATTTATAGATCTAGAGTAACTAAGGATTAGTCTCCCTCTCACAAGGAAGAGGTAATCCCACGTAAGGAAGGTCGGTCGTCACTCAGGCCACTGTTCTGAACTGAGCCTAGCCGAACTGAAGGCCTCGCATCAGGTCCAGAAGCTGAGACACCCAGTCCGGTCCAAAGCGGGAGACGCCTGCATCATCCAGTGTTGTAGATGGGATACCGCGTCGCGCTTCGTTGGACGCCCCTTGTCATTCTAACATTGACCGGTAGAAAAAAGCAAGTTATGAGACCGTGCGAGAGCTTATTAGGCAAAGGTTTAAAGATATTTATGGCATGAAACTTTGACCACGCTCACGTATCTCCAAACAAGCCTTGATGTCAAGAAAGAAAATAACAAATGTAATGTGTATGATTTTAACTTGGAAACATGTTGGTGTATGATGACTGAAGGATAAGCTTGCTCTGGGAACAAAGCACTGCTAGGAAATGACCAGCAACCTCATTTTAGTTAGACTAGGTGATGCGAGGCTTAGAAGGGTTGAACTGGCTGGTTTATCTAAACCGATTCAGCCCTATTGTTGCTTGAACCGGTCAGTTTTACCGCCTAAATGGAGGGGCTTCCCCCTCCCTACGTATCTTCTATTAAAAATAGGTCCTTTGTTTTGTTTAAGGTTGGTTTTTTTGTGAGAGTTTTGTTTAGACAGCTGTCGGCATCCCCTTTTCCCTTTCCAGGGTTGTACCCAAGGACAGATGGTGCTCCGGCTATGTATCGCTCTGAGGTGGTGATTATCCTCGATCTTCCCCATCTAACAGGTTTCCCAACAGTCTCCTATAATCCAGCAGCAACCAGCACCCACAATCCCCTGCACCTGATTTTCAAGTGCTGCCAGAACCACTCCCAACTCCCTCACCCTCCATAGCACCTCCCACCACCCGCTTGTCACCACCCTTTTTCTCGCCCTAGGGTGTGTTTGTGTCGTTTATTTCCGGTTTTGATGAGTCTTTGTTGTAACGCTTTAAATTTCAAAAATAATATTTTTGTTTTCTATCGCGGTTTGAGTTAACTCAGATATCATTTGATATCAAAGCTAGCCTAATATTAGTCTTATCCTCGGATTTCCTAGCATTCGCCCCTAACCCAAGCCCCTCCATCAAAATTTTTTTTCCTATTCCCAAACCCTAGCCAAATTTTGACTAACCAGAATTTCCCCTTGTCAATTTTCTCAGCAACCCCACATTAGTTTTCCCACACCTTCAATGAGTCTCTCACACCCTCTTTCACCTCCCAAATCTAGACCCTAGCCATGCTATTAAGAAGATACACACCTGAGCCTACCCGGAAAGAGATATAGTGAGAGATCCGTCAACTTCAACGAAGGGTTGAGGACATTGAGGATGAAATCTAGGGGGAGATTACCATCAACCGAGATCGGGAAAGTCAAAGGGGAGCCAGAAACGAGGAATTGAATCCCTTCCATTGGGAAGACTTTAGTGATGAAGAAGAACGGCCATGACGGTGTAGAATCCAGTATCAAAGGAAACTGAGAAAAGACCTAGTATACAGAGTATGCGAGAAGCTGAGAATAAAGCAAGAGATATAATTTCAGTTCCTACCAGTTTACTACAGACTGAAAATTCAAACCCTAGCTTCAGAAGCGGAAAGAACACATCACCGAGCGACCATGCCATCTTACAGCCAAAATTCAATCTCGGGATGTTACAGCCAGAGTACACCCAGAAGAACCCCGGGGACGACCCTGTCAGAGGAAAAACTGATTCAGAGGGGAGAACAGGTGGAACCAGCCTGCATCCCTAAATTTGTCATAGCCCAGAAATATTGCAAGTACCACGAATTTAGACATGTTGAATCAGACTGCACAGCCAAGGGGAGGTCTGTTTCACTGAGCAGGGCTTCCTTGAAAAATTGAGCAAAGACACAGTAGACACAGAAGGCACGAAAGACATAAAGGAGGAGGACCAGCTTCCAGTTGAAGAGATAAATGGTGATCCATAAGAACATGACAACTTCAAAGAGGATTCTTAATTTTCAGCCAACAAGGAGGCGTCATCGATTCCAGTTGACCCCAAGATAGAGATTCCAGCTAAGGTAACATTAGCTATTTTAGAATGTAGCGAATCTAATGTAATGGGCATCCCTACATATTATGAGATTATAGTGCCTCAAGATACCATTTTGTAGGCGTTAAGTGGAGCATCAACAGGACTTACCATAGATGTCCAAAAGGGTCATGAGTTTGAGAAGCCGTTAACAGATACAAAGCCAACACAGATAAGAGAAATGCAGATTTTCAGATGTATAGACCCCTTCCCGAGTTATCCCTGCGGAGGGAGATCTAGTATGTCAGAGTCGGGTTATTTTGTACCATGTTGGGAATATTACATGAGGTTATTCAGAGGTTATTTCAATTCATCATGGTGCCCATC